TCGTATTGAGTGTTTAAAATACTCAAGAAATCTCAGTTCATACGAAACATTACAGAAACAGAAGCAGTATATTTACAACTACACAGTCAATAAACTGTGAATGAAAGGAAAAATTAGAACGTCCCACGACCAGCCATTCCAATTTCCATTCCACCGCCTTTGCCAGTACACACACGTCGAGGTGAAGTTTTCGAAAAGCAATAAAATGTATGAAAAAAAAAAAAGTTAACGAAAACCTATCCTCGACGTCCTTATAAAATTCACGCTCACATTCCTGTGAATATAAACGCTCACGACGAAGGTAGAAGGAAAACGATAAAAAAAAGCAAGAAAGAAAGAGAGAATGAAGAACGAAGAAAAAAATAGTTCTTCCGTTGTTGGATCAAGTATCAAGGATAGGGACAAATTTTGCAGAGCAATGAAGTTACATGAGCAGGTAGATACAACGTTTTGCAAAGGGACAAGGATGACCGAGTCCTTATGTGTGGCGAAACGGTTCGAATATTACCGGCGTGCCCATCATGGTAAAGGTCTTTCCGGACCCTGTCTGGCCGTAGGCAAAGACGCAGGCATTGTAGCCCTCGAAGGCACTTTCTATTACGTCCGTACCAAGATCGTAGAAAACCTAAAAGAGAAGAAGGTTGGATCAGTGGTCTGTTTTTAGCACACGGTGATATCAACAGGCATCACCGTTTATGGTAAATGGAAAAAGGTGTTTCTTATCGCGTTCAAAGGTAGCACTAGACACGCCTTACAAGTATCTAGCTGCTACCATTGACGGAGGTAATTTTAATAGCGTTGCGCATGTGGAAGAATTTTAACGAGTCGCCAAATGAACCAGAATTCTAGATAATTGCCGAACAATTACGCGTGCAATAATTAATTTTACAATTGATAAAAATTCGATATTGCATATCTCGTGTAACACGTAATTACTAATAAACATGTGATAAAAGATAAAGTAAGATGAACATTTTCTTGGTAATTGAAACGGAATTATTTTACTACGAGATCGAAAGGAACGAAAAAGCTGGAAGTTTCTATTAAAACCTGTTCTTACGACAATGGTTGCTATACCGGTGCACGCACGCCGGTCTTCTATTTTAATTCTGATCGTGGCTCATCGTCAAAACATTGTCCAATGCGATCCTGTGAATCGATCGATCGCAATAATATACATCTTTCAGGGAAAAAAAATCGACGTTTTTTTCCCGGTAAACAGAATTCAATTATCATTATTGAAATAACGAAACGGTATAGCACACTGCTCGAAATAATTAGAGAATCACTTGTTCAAATAAACGCTTCATTTTAATTGATCAGTATTATACAAGTTAAGAGTGTGTTTTTGCCGTTATTCTCAATGTACGATTCCAGATTAACGATACTCTATTTACTTCAAGCTATACATTGTCAATCTCGAATCGATAGATTCACGACAAGTTCAGATGTATGAAATAAAATATGCACCTCTTCTTGGGACGCATAGTTATCGTCGTTCGTGTCGAAGGACCAATAAGAGTGATCGAACGTGAAGTCTTTGTATTTCTCTCTGTCGATTTCTCTGCAACTACCTGGTGTCTGTAAATAACATGTACATCATCATCATAATCTTCTCCAATTATTACCATTGTATCACATTTGAATAATATACCGAAGAGTTATTTTATTGTATAAGAAAAACTTTTTTATCGATCAAGATTCTCATTCGAGCAGAATATGCGAAAACTCTGCTTTATCAATCGAGCAGTTTATATCATCGATAAATTTCTCGTATGAAGTTAGTAACGTTAACATCACATCGAAATATTATTGATTATTCGTTTTTTAAAAGAGAAGACTCTTTAAAACAAAGGAAGGTGACACAGGTCAAAAGCCGGTACTGTAACTGATGTCAAGAAGGCGCATCATTCACAAGTGGCTGGCAAGTAGTAAGCCGTTATGTCACGTGCATTCGTTAGGCTGCATCCCACATAACTAATCGTATACTATCGAGAACCACTTGGTGTATTACGCAACATAAAGCGAGTACAAGGCAATTAAAAAGTAAAACTCTTTATGTTTATCCATCATGCAACCAAGAATCAGCAAGGGAACTAAGATAAAGATTGTTATCTTCGGAGGATCATGATCAATGCGATCAATGCCGTAAGAAATTTGAGGTTCAGTTCCCGAGTAAACATCGAAACGTTTGAGTCATCGTATTTAATCTTTTAGATCGTCAATTTCACTGCAGTTTGCTAATTCATTCCTCTTTGTTTCATTATCACGTGGAAAAACGTAATTATTGTTTTGTTAGGAAGAAGTTTCTTCTCGTGATTATATTTACTTCGATGAAAAAGTTAGCAGTGATTCGCGCGCCATAGGATGCGTCATGATCTCCATAACGAACAGTCACGTTGCGCGCACCAGATTTTCATAAACCTGTTTTACCACACCGTCCGTAAAACGGGAAAACTGTTTAATGATAAATGCCGAAGATAAACGTAAATAGTAGTTTTAATCTATGTAGAAACTACCATTCGTAAATCTTCGATCATGGAAATCTATAGATTGTTCTCGAAGTAGGAAAAAATATTCTACGAAATACTAAGACTATATTTCTAATGTTGAATCATAGCATTGAATGGAACAAAAGGAAGACAAAGACTCGTGTTAAATGAACAAAGTGGGAATTTCTATTAATGTTATACATCAACCAAATTTATCCCCAAAAGTGTATTAATGAGGACGTTATAATTAGCTTTGTGGTCTACACATTACTCGTACAGAATCGAAAAAATCTCATCTACATGAAACACGTATAAATCGCAATATGATTGGTTAGTTTTGTGGTTAGTGCCGTGCGACGGAAAGCGACTCGTCCGGGATTGGTCCAGCAACGATTTTCGCACTTTCTCCGATCAGATGACGTGCTGTTCGCTATCTTGCTCGCGAAATCTCGGTCAAAGATTTCGCCTCGACATCAGCATGGATATCAATGACGTAACGGGAAACAACAAATAATTACCGGATGGTTAAGGAAGATTCTACACGTATCGCGCGAACAATACGCGTCGCAGTCGCCGTGACGTTAATGGGTCAATAGCCGGGATTTGTTCGACCAGAAATCATGACACGGTTCGAGCACGAAACGTTTTAACAGCGTGGCGGTCAACGGTAGTTCGAGGCGAAAAAAATCGTTCTACAACTCTAGAAATCTTTTTAGAAAGTTCGTTCGCGATCATTAAGGACGAACCGCGGCAAGGATCGACAGGAGTCGCTTGTTGCGGACGCGATACTCAAGTAGTACGTATATACATTTCGATAGGGAAGTGTTTAACCTTAATAAGTAACGGTTTTTTTTTTCATCATACAACATCGAAAACGATCGCTTTCGAACATTACTAGATACCTTAGTGTTGAAAATTCGTGTTTTCTTGCCATCCATTTGCACGATCATCTTTGCATTCATCGCCAGCTCCCTGGAATAACAAATTTGACAGATTCACACACTTATATCTAGAAAACTGAACACTTCAAATTTTCACCAATAGTTCCTCGAATTGTAAAATTCGCGGAAAGGAAAAATAAATAGTCGAAGGTGATATGAAAGAATCGCGATAACATCGAATACGGGACGAATGACAGCAGGTGGTAGAATTTTGTCGCACAGTCGTCGACGCAGCGAGGGTCAATCGAAACCATATGATTGATCGTCCCATGAAGCTCGACTTTACGTTCGAAGGTCGAGTGCTTGCGAATCGCGTCAAAAACATTATTGAGCACACTGTCATCCGAATTTTACAACAGGCCTTGACAAGCCTGCCTCGACCAATTGTAAAGTGGCTGTTAAAAACGATTGGAAAAACCGAGGTTTGCACGATAAATTGAACGCAATTCGTATCGCGAAATGTCGATAACTGCTCGTCACGGGTTATCACTAGTTGCATTGCACGCACCTTTTGTTAAAGGGACGAACTCTCACAGCTACCTTCACCGAAGCCATGGCTACGAAGAGCGCATGGACTTTGTGTCAGGGGGATGGTGCACACCGTAATATCTTTTTCACTTCGATCTCGTTCCGCTTTTTTGGACTCGCGTTACGCGAACACGAAGCTTCTCGCGGCGCTACGTGGACAACACATCGTCGACGGGTTCCACCGTGCTACGAAACGTCGTCGTCGTCGACCCTCACGCGCAACGAGCAACATCGTCCTCAACACGCTCTCGACAGACGGACGACTACTGGCGTGCCGCTGTACGAGACAAAAAATTGCGTTTCCGCGCATGCGCGTACGCGCGCGGATCCCTAATTTCAAGTGATCCGCACATTTGCCGTTCCTCGCGACGCCGCACGGAAAACGCGATGAAACGGGCCGGTCACGTAGAAAAAAGCACGAGCGACCGTGTAGAAAAGATACCGGGGGAGGAAAGAAGCGGAATTAGCGGGAAGAAAGACAAAGCGAATCGGCTATGAAACTGCGGAAAAAGAAAGGGACGGTCAAACAGGTTTTATATTCCCCTTCTACGGAATGTGACGTCATCACGGGACGACGGGATCGGTTGGTATACAGGCAACGGTGGAGAGTGAACGGAGAGAAGGCGAGCCGCCCACGCAGCAAACCGACAGAGCTAAATCAAACGCTTTGCGGTTTCTCGAAGCGCGTAACGGCGGTCATACGGAGAATTCATGTCGTTTTGTTATCCAGCTGGAGATTACGCATCATCGGTGGGCACGGATCCAGGACAAGAGTAGGATTCCGTAGGCACCTGCGCCCACCGGCGCAAAATAGAAAATATGTCATAGGCGGCGCTAACCTCGTCGTTTGGAAGTGCTCTCGTTTGCATACAACACGGGCCAATGGACTTTTCGAAAAGTTTGGCACGACTTCGTAAAACGAGGAAATCTCTCTTTCGGGGTCTGTGTAGTAGTATATTTTACAGAACAAGAGAGTATTCGTCGCATAGTCGAGCCGTATCGTCGATTTAGCTACCTGCCAGAAAACAGGTCCGGCAACTCTCTCGCGCAGGCTTACCGCGTAATTTGTCTCGTGCAGAATCATAGGCGGTCCGTAGCCGCCCGGCAGCATAAACAAAGTCTCATTCTCGTCACGATTCTAACGTTAGCCGCTCTAAATTCAGAGCCTGTTGCTTTTTCGAGATCAGTCTACGTAGAAGATCATTGATACTCGGTGGATGTGCGTAAACAAATGACTCAGCTGAACTTCATTAATGAAAAAACCACAATACGCACAATTCTAAAAATAAGTTTTATTCATTATTCATACGCTACGTGCACATATATTTCGTGTACATTGTCATTTTTTTTTTAAGTACAAATATTTAAGCAATTTTTTGTTAATATTTGAATGAAACTATAAATATTTGAAATAAGTTTTTATTAGAAAGTATTGAGTGTCATACATGAGATTAAGTTTGCATCAACGAGAAGCCATAATCGAATTCTGCTGTGGTAATTATAAGACCGGCACTTGATATCGAGAAGCGCGGCTTGATCATAAACGGGAGCCTTGAAAAGCCAAGTTATACGATATGCTCGGTGCATAATGATTCATAGTCGATTGTACTGACGTAACCCCAGTCTGAGCGCTACGGGACTGCTGCTGCTGCTACAGAAAAACGTGTCAAACCTTTGACTCTGTTTAGGCAAGACACTTCCCGTGGAGCCAAATACGGCTGCGGGCGATCGTCACTTGCCCATTCTTGCGGTCCCGTGTCATTGTTATGCGAACAACTTAATCACGTTTGAGAACGACGAAAAATGTCCGTAGATAAATTCAAAACGATACGTTCGGAACTTTACCGTTGTTCTGTATACCCTGATAGACGTAAAAAATTGTATCGCTATTGTACGACGCCAAAAGCATTCTACGGGCTGTAGCTAATTATCTCGTAATTCATACGTTTAACTTCGATTATGATTTAATCGAAGATCATTGACATTAGGTATACCTATTTTGGAGCACGGAATGAAATCATTCGATACTATTCATTGGTAGATGCTTAGAATATTTATTACTCATAGATTTTATATAAATTTTATTCGAGTCTAAGAAAGTACATTCTATTTATAAACTTAAACCATTAACCAAGATACTTACAACTAGAATATTCTAATGAATATCAATATTTATTATCTGATTTAAAAAATATATCGATATTTTTACAATTTTTCATTATCACAATTTTTATAGAAATCGTTGCTCCACGTCAATTCGAAGATTTAGCAAGTGCTGACACGTAGCTTCTTAGCGAACTAACATTGTCTACGAGGTCGGTAATGCAGAGTATCGTGTTCGATCGTCAAAGCAGAACAGGAGGGGAGGCCCAGGACACAGCATGGTGGCGCGGCTAGTCAGGGTTAGTTCATTTGAAAAACGAAGCCGTGACCGACCATCAGTCGGGTGGCAACTGTCGAGCATGTGCGTGGTCCCTGGTGCCTATTTATTCGTGTCTTAAATCGCGCACAACGCAATTGCATGTACACCTCGGTACGTGAACGAACGACGGACAGTTCGCGAACATGTGATTTTGACAGGGAGTACGGTTCGTCGACGCCCGTAGCCGCGTGCGTGAACAGTGAAGGTTTCCCCGGCCGGATATATCGTTACCCTGCAGCAGCCTTGTTCGAAGGGGTGGAGAATAATGTTCTGAACCGCGAGCCACGCACATCATGGTTGCTAAGCACTTCACGCAGGGTAAGTTTCCTAACCGTCGCGTTTCTCGCACGTATACACTACCCGCGATTCCGTGTGCTTTCCGTCGATCTGATAAAACACGATAATACGTCTGAAAGAATTGTTGCGTACCCTAGAGGTGAAAACGTGCACGTAACGTCCATGGTGCACCAGTGCGGTGCACGGTGGGTGGTGCAACTTGACGATGGTAATAATAATAATAATAATAATAATAATAATAATAATAATAATAGGATTTCTGTCCTCGAGGATAATGGAACAGTGTCGCGTTTCTTCCTTGTTTTTCATCGATTATTTGCAGGGTGTCCCGTGAAAGTAATAACTGACAATTTATTATCGCAAACGTTGTTACCTTTTACTGGCAAAATTGCTGATAGAAAATTTTGGTGCTACAAACTATATGATTGGCAGCTGTGTAACGATCGTATACGAGGCACCAAGGCAATTTATATTTTGATCAGGTTTTTAAGCGAAGCTCGTCAGCCAGGGCGGAGTAGCATTGACCGATTGTTCTGGGGGATAAGCTGAAGCTTGCGTGAGCCTGATGTCAAGTTCGTGGTGGCTTTTAAACCGTTCGTTCGATGTCCCATCGATCGCCACTCGATGTAATCTTACTCTCGCGTGCCCTTCTGCGAACACGCGTGTTTTTTCTGCATGAAATCGAGGGGAGGATGATAGAAAAAAATGTAGGCTGAATTCTCTGGCATATTTTGCGAGATAGATGACCGTCATTTTTTTCCCGTCGTCCGACTACGAATGTCAGTCTTCTAAATTTTTTGAAGGTAGTGTTTTTTTTTTTTTTTTTCACGAATACTTCGCGTCGAATTTCACACTCGAGTTTGAACGAGTAAACAACCACGTATAAATTTCACTGAGCCGATTAATGTTACGGAAAGTCTTGTTAAACTTTTGTTCTTTCGAAGATTGTTAACCGAATTGTCGGTATTCGACAGACCCTTTAATTTGAAATGCGACATCTGGTGGGTTCTTAGCACGCGACAATCTTCGTCATAATTGCGGGTTGCCCTTAACATCGTCTCATCACGCACGATAGGTGTAAATGTCATTGGTAATTTATTATGGAAGCCCGATCAACGGAGGTATTTCACAGTGTGCGATGATTCTTCCGCTCTGTATCCGTCAACCCTCTTCCTTCTTCTATGTATACCCGCAGTGCAGTGATACGTCCAGGGATTTCCATCTTCCACATCGTTTCTTTTGAATTCTTTTATCGTGCCGGTCGATAAAGTGTGCACATTCCTCTGCACTTCTGAATGAGCTTCCTTATCCGTTACTTTTAATGTACAATTTCAATGGAAGCTGAATGTAAATGTAACTAAATAATGTAGTACAAATAAAACAAATTATGTCACCTCGTGTAAAATTTCAATTTTAACAAAGTTTCTATTATTCCTACGTTCATTTGAAATAAAAATAAACATTCCATTTTACGACGAAATACCAAACATGAAGAAATTTCAGATCTGTAGAGGACGTTACTTTCGTTAGAAAGAAAGATACACAGGGCCGTTGAAGGCTCGTAAAATGTTTCACATAAAAACAGCCTTTTTTGTGACACGCGATCCAGTCTGCGTCGGAGCGGGCAACACAATCTCGCTGTTCGTATACAATCAGCATTCATGGCAGTGATGTGTACAATGTACGTGTATATTAACGCGGGTCCAAGTTATCACGTCGCGTATGATAAAACCACTTACGGTACGACTGGACGCGTGGTATATATGTATTTCCGATCGAGGGTACAATGTGTCCAGTGACTCGAGACAGGGAAAATTAATACTATGTCGGTATGTTACATAAGATGGAGGTTTCTTTGTATGTATTAAGAATAGCAGACAATTTTTTTAAATCTCTTTTTATTTTCGAAGAAATTGAAAATTTCTGTACGCAGTGAATTAAGTTAGGTAAAGAAGTTCGGGAAAAATTTTGTTGAATATTTTTAATTAAGTAATTTGCATTAGTTTGTATTCGTATTCTCTGCTTATTGAACGAGAAAAAGCTTGTTTTTATGGAACAATAGCGTTTTAAGTATCTTGAAAATGAAAACCGGCGACGAGCGAACAGCAAAACTTGAACAAGTAATCAGGCAAAACTACTCTTGTCTCTTATGAGCATTGGAAGCTGTGGGTCGACTAATTGGATGATGGCATTTGTTTTGTACGCACAACGCATTTTTATTAGAATGCTCATTTAATCGTATTTCGTCGAAATGTGTACAATGACGATTCTTTCATTTTTTTTCTCAATAAGAAAATGTAATAACCTCACAGATTTATTTTACCAATGTACAATTTAACGACTGTCTAGTAATGATATATATTTAGATATTAGAACGTGTTCGTGATGAATCTGAGATCATTTAACGATGACTTCATGTGTAATAACGATCTTACACATGTTTCGCGGTAGCTCACTTCATGTGTATCTAATCCGATTCGATAACCGCGATCGATAAAACGTAAAGATCCCTTCCGTGAAATTAACGCGTTA